TCTCCAACTAAATGTAACCACTGTACACTGTTTCCTACCCAGGGCTGTGCTCTCCTCCCACTGAGCCTTGGCTCGGCTCCTGCTGTTACTGCCACCAAGAATGGTTCTTCCCTGCACCTCATCTGGCCTCCTCAAGCACCAGCTGAAGTCCTGGTGCTGTGCCTTTAGCCTGCCAGCCACTGAGAGGGGCTCAGTTAGTACATTAGGAGGCAAGTACGAACATTATCCGCTTTCCCAGACAGGGTGCTCATTCAGCACAAGGCCTCAAATGCCTCACTCACACTGCCTTGCACATTGTGGGTGCTCAAAAAACAGTTGTTGAATGAATGGCTGATGTTGCATGGAAGTGGTGAGTATAAAGGCAGGATCAAAGAGGTGATTAATATAGGAGCGCACACAGCTTAGTAGATCTGGAATAAAACACAGGAGCACATGCTGTAATTAAGTTTTAAGTCCACTGATTTCCTAATGATTCTGCAATACCATCTGTGGTTTTTTTCAAACAAAGAGAAAGATCTGATATTTCCCAATAAGGGCAGAGTTAAGGATGGTAGTTGTGAGTGCCTTGATTTAAATTGTACCCATAGACCATCAGCAGAGACTAAGCACCATTAATTGGAGCCCTTGTAGAAGCTACTTTGCAAAGGAATAGAAGGATATTTGACTTATGTAACTATTGGGTCTTCTTAAAAAATTAATGACTTATTTCATTAGGGTCATTTTCCTTGGCACACAGACTAACCATCGAACTTCTCAGGGCCAGTGACAGTACCAAGCAGAACTGAAGCAAAGTAGGTGAAGCCAGCCTTTGGCTCTCTTCTGTGCTGTATACCCAGCACTTGCATCCCTTTCCCTGGGGCCAGGTGCCCTCTAGGCCTCTTCTCTGTTACCCAATCAACCTATCTTTAAGAAATGGACTACATTTTATTCAAACTGAAGTGCAAATGATTGTTGGGAATTTACAGGAGTGTTCTACAATGACTTTTTACATCTAACAGGGATCAAAGTCTTAAGCTAGAGGAATGAAACTCTTAACAGTAGATTGTAAGTGTAAAATATAAATAAATAATAGCTGAAGAATTTCCCACACTACCATAAGGGATTATCATCATTTCCATGCAAAGGTATATCCATTCATAAGCATATAAATGAAAATAATTTCTAAAGTGATTTCTTATTGAAGTAAATTGGTTGTTTCTATCCAGCTTCCTTCTCCTACTTCTCCGCAATCTGGGCAACCTGAGCCCCAGAAACTGGTACTCTTCTTTGATTTCATAGTTTGTATTCATTTGGATCTTGGTTGCAAGTGACAAGAATCCCATTTAAATCATCTTAAGAAAAAAAAAGTCCATGTAACCAAACTACCAAATGTCAGGGTTGAACTGACGTTATGGTTGAATGGTTTAACCATTATTAACACACTTTCTCTCTCATGTATACACACACACACTCTGTCCTTTTGTCTGATTCTATTAGCATTGGTCTCATTATTTTACTCTCTCCCACATATTAGGAGACAGTCTTACAGTTCTCAAGGCAAAGGGAATAGAACAGGCTTTAAATCTGCTTCAAGTCAAGTCAGAATAGTCTAGGGAGGGATGCTGATTGGTCAGTTCGTATCATGAGAACTTGCTAGCATGATCATTGTGTCTAGTCAGATATGGTCTGGTGATTGTCATCTCTGTGACAGTCCCTTAAGAAACACATGAAATAGGGGAAATCAGTTGGCCCTTTGAACTTCTGTTTCCTTATCTATAAAATGAGGGAAGTTGAGATATCTCTAAAACTTGCCCAGCTTTAAACTGATTCTATTTAAAAATTGCTTCATTGCTTTTAGTATTCTATAATCACTGTATCTTTGCCTCTCTTACACGTCCTAACTCTTTCTGGAAGGTCAAATAAAATTTTGAGATAATAATTAATCTCCTTAGCTCAATTCTGAGTTTCTCTAAATGGGGAAAGGGGCAGCTGCTGTGGTACCCCTCACATGAACCAACAAAGTGTTACAGTTCAGCCTTGATCAAATTTAACCACCATTTATACTGAAAGATGGTCACAATTTTCAAAATCTGTCAAGCATCCAAATTTAGCATTTTGTCTGAGTAAAAAAGAAGCAGATCAGATGGAAGGTCAACTGGAAATTTTTCCTTTATGCCATTAGGCTGGAGGCATGAAATGATGCTATGTAACTGGCTCCAAATCAGATGCATCCCAGTTCAAAGTGACTGAAGTGTGGTAGTGTCCAGATTGTTTATCTCTTTCCCTACCACTGAATGCTTATCTTTCCTACAAAACCCACATGATGTATTCTCTGAAATGCCTCCCCACCCGCCAACAAAATCGATCAGTCCATCTTCCATATCATATCCACACTTCTATTATAATGAACTTTGCCTGTGTCTAGCTCTCTTATTAGACCACTAGTTCACGGAAGGCAAGGGCCATTCATTATTCACCTTTGAATTCCTCTTACCTCACCCAGTATAGACACATGGTAAATACTCAATAATGTTAGTTGTGTTGACTTTACAGATAATGCTTCTCAAGCAAATTTTTGTTAATGGCTTTTATCAATAGAGTCTTAATTATGGTAAGATAATAACCAGTTGAGTTAGGCCGCAGGAAGCAACCCAACGAGGATCCTGGAAACTTCCATGTATCAGTGGTCCAGAGGACAGTTGCTTTTATGCCTTTACATCACTGCTGTCACCAGAAACCACTTCTTTACAGGCTACACATGGCTTGCAGTCCCTCTCAGAACACTAGTGCCTACTAAATAAAGCAAATCCATGAGCAAATGACATAGATTTGTCATCCCCTAAGTTTTCTTCCATAGTTTCCTGAGATTCCTGCCCTTAGATTTGTGTGTGATAAGGTATTACCTCCCAGAAAGTCCCTACAAAAATGTAAACATGTTATTGGCAGAGGGTATTCTTACTGTGGGCTTGGAGTCCTGAAAGTCAGAAGCATATAAGGAAAAATAATGATTGATATCACTTGAAAATATCCAAGTGTTTTCCTTCCAGCCACCTGTGATTCATCCTACCCTCAGTTCAGCCATTGTCAATTGACTAAGTGAGATGTGACTGACATGAGATCCCTAGGAGCATGGGGGCACTGCAAGCACTGAGTCTACAGATGACTTAAGAATGAGTAGAGGACACCTGGCATCCCTAAGTTAGGGAACTCTTGGGCCTGTTAGTTCCCCAGAAGCCTGATGACCACAGGCCAGGTTTTCCTGAAAGCCAGCTGAGTTTTGCTGCCAAGGAGAACTCACTTTCTTTTTCTACCTCCCAACGTCCTCTAGACCTCTGCCAGTCACTGGACAGGTCCTTAAGTGGATAGGACAGCTATAGGAGAAAGAAACTTGATCTGATTGCTTAGCCCTCACCATCAGAGAGGGACAGCACCATTAAACAGAACTCAGCAAGGACAGGGAGCTGTTAAGTGTTTGAGGGCATTTCAGCCGCCTAATATTTCCTGAGGTCGTGAGACTGTCCCATCACCCAGTAGTCAGGCCATTTTGGAAGTTCTGGTTTGCCAGAGTCTTTTCCATGCTGCAAAATTGTTAGCTTTGTTATAATACTTCATGAAAATGACATCTTGGTGGTACTAGTCAGTGAGCAATTACTGAACCTACCATGAGTGAATTATTGACCGAACAACCGATTAGAAGCCATAAGGAATATATTCGTAGTGATAAAGGGTAAGCAGTGCCCCAGGGTTGTTCAACATCAATGTATGCTGTATCCACCATACTGGGCTACTTGGTATCACAGAATTTAGATATGTGTGACCTTGGACAAATCCTCAATCCTTCTCAGCCTTGGTTTCCTTACCTTTAAAATAGTGGTAATAACACTTATTCTGCCTATTGGAAGGAGGCTTAAATGAAAGGAACAGTGAAGTGCCTGGACAGAATTTAGCATATCACTGAGGCAAATTTGTGACTTTTCTCTTATTTTTAAGTTGCTAAACGTCTCTAAGAATGGTGGCATGGCTAGCAATGTAGACTGTTTACAATCCTGGGTTCAAACCCGAGCTCAGCCATCTACCACCTGTATGATTTTGACCTAATTACTTAATGCTTCAAAGCTTCTGTTTCCTCACATGTAAATGGCATGATGATAATATATACCTCATAGATCTGAGTGGATTAAAAGAAGAAACATATAAAGCACCTACCATAGTATGTGGCACATAGCTGATACCTTATGAGTGGTAAAAAATTGCTGTTACCATCTGTAGTAAAGGATTAAAAAGCAGCAGCCACCGGATTACTGTGAGTCTCTTGGATGCCTCTGTATGTTCCCTGATCTCTTCCTGCTTTCTATATTCTGATAAATATATACAAGTCTACATTAATAGAGGCAATGGTTAATTGCCTCCTTGTGGACTGAACCTATTCTGGGGCAGCACAGTACCTTATTCGTTTTTCTTGAGGCTTCCAAGGGATATGTCCATTCTAATTTAATAGAGCTCTTTTTTTAGTGCCTGGTGCATGCAAAGAGGTAATACCACATGTACATTTCCAAATGCCTCATTTGTATGAACTCAAGCCTTAACTATAAGGGGAAAACATCCTAGGAGGTTGGGGTGGGTATCATTTCACATTCATTTGAACTGGTGCCAACCAAACTTCTGTGAATTACGTCTCAGCAATTTTCTCCTGGAAAAAATAATGATTATGAGACTTCTAGCTGTTACTTGGACTTCTTTCATTCTTGCATTTGCATTGCTTATGTGTGTCAGCAGCAGTCACATAATCTATCAAGCTCCCAGGCTCCCAAGTTAGTCAATCCTTCTTCTTCAATCCAGTACAAGAGAAAATGGAAGAGGCACATCCTGGTGGTTTACTCTTTGGAAAAACATGCTCCAGTTTGGGCTGAGAATGCAGGCAAAGGGGATCAGGGAGGTAGGGGGCAGCTAGCTCTGGAAGAGCTTTTCTGAATGGGCAAGGTCAACTCCCAAGAAAATGATGGCCTTCCTTTAATCTACAGGTAATGCAGGTGGTGAAGGAGCAGGTTATGAGAGCTCTTACAACCAAGCCTAGCTCCCTGGACCAGTTCAAGTGCAAACTGCAGAACCTGAGCTACACTGAGATCCTGAAAATTCGCCAGTCTGAGAGGATGAACCAGGAAGATTTCCAGTCTCGCCCAATTTTGTAAGTTACTCCTGACCTCTATCTCCCTGTAGGTTCTGACCACCATTTCTGGAGTGTAGGCCTATCACACAGCTGAACTGTGTCTTGTGCTCTTTACAGAAAACCAGCAAAAGATATTCCAAAAGCTCTCAATTCTGTTGGTGAAATCTCAGCAGCTTGTTGAGGAAGGCTGGGCAGGGATGGCCTGTGGGGCAGGGAGGGGAGACAGGTGCTGACAGAAGATCTGAACTGGAAAGGGGCCCAGATACTAACGAGTCCTTAAAGATTTGTAGCTGAAACTTTGAGGACCTTTTCTAACATTGGTGACAAATTTTTTGCCTATGGAGCTATATTCTTTGTAGGTGCCTTTGAGTGGCAAGATTCTGGACCAATCAGGCAGATTGAGGCCTGCTGATAATTAAAACAATGTGAGCGTTGAAGTAGTTTGAGTGGGAGGGAGGGAGAGTGGGGCCCACTTTCTCTGCCCCTCTGGCTCTGCATCCCATTGAAGCGTCTTGCATCTCCCTCGTGACTATCAACCTGTAAGCCTAAGGTAGGGAAGCAGCAGATTCCCTTCTTATGGGACTTTGCGTCAAATACCACTTGAAACAGTTGCATAATTTCATGTTTCTCTATCTTTAAGATGTTCTGAACCTTGGACATTAAGACAGGTTGACTTTATCTTTTTAGAACTGGCCTGTTTACCTTCCCTTGTCCTTTTCTAAAAGTTAAATCTGTTTTGTTACCCTTATCATTTACAGGGAAAAGGGTCAGGGATAAGGAAAGTGTTTGACACGTATTTTCATTCTTACCTCAGAAGACTGGGAACAGCTTCTTTTGAACTTTATATGAAGCCAACTTACAACATAGGTGTTATTTTGAAACCCAAACTAAATCTCTCTCTTTCTTCTGATTCTTTTTCTTTCTGTCCCTCTTTCTGTTTTTCACTCTTATGTATTTTATATTTTTAATGCTTGGCAATTGGCATATCCTTCTTGCTATTTCATTTCCTCACATCCTTTTAGGATAGGCAGTCTTAATCCCATTTAAGGACAAGGATGTGGTTTAGAGAGGTTAGGAGCCAGGATTTGAACTCCAGCCTGCTGATCCATCAGCTAATGCTTAACCCACCCATCAGAGCTCCTGCCAAGTACAAGACTGAGATGAGATTTTTTTTAAGTACACAGGTCTGGAAAGATAATAGTCAAACTGCAACTTCAACTTTGTATTTGTTCTTAAGCCTTAAGAAACACCTTTAGAAGCTGCGAAGCAGAACTGCAGACATTGTTGAGGATAAGGTTAGGCAGCAGGAGGGGGAAGTGGTTTGCATCACTGTAAGCCTAAGACATAGGCACTGAGCATAGCCTACAAGGTCTGCAAGACACACCGCTGGGGCTTTGCATTGACCATTGGCCAGAGGAGCATAACATCCAGAAACACCGAGCAGAAGGCACTTGAGATGAATGATTGACTCCTCAGAGCTGCAGTCTCTCACTTGCAGTGAGGGACAGTGTGGCTTCCAGGGCTTCTGGTACTGAAATGTTGGGTTTTGTAACATCTGTTTCAGCAAATATAGAAACACAAGGAGACTTTACTATGCTTTTGACAACAATTCTTAAAACCCGAAGAGAAACTTGAGGACCCCTTTTGTTAAGGCCAAGTGATTTGAAATTGTTTGACCAGGACTTGGTTCCAAGTAAGAATGTGAATGGCATGTCAAGTGTAAACACTTTGCTTTCACTTTGGCTTCACATCTTCACTTCCTAAGGTTCTGCCTGTGACATTCTGAAGTTTTGTTTCCCTCTATTATCTTTACATTTATTATGTAAGGAGAAGTACAGAAAATACAAAGGAAATCTCTCATAGATATATAGCTTTGGCCTCATCCCTTGACCATGGGACAGAAAAGCACCATGGCCCACTGGAGTTCTTGTTATAGTTGCAGTGAAGTCATAAAAGATGTACCAGAAGCTACAGCATTTAAGGGGCAGGCCATGAACAGCCCCACCATAATCCCAGCGGAAATGGGCAGATGGAGCCAGTCTCTATCTTCTTCTCCAGTGATATTTTGTTTGTTAGAATAATCTGCTGGATAGGAACTTATTGTGGGGTTGAATGAAGTCTAATTGCTGCCAAAATGGCTCATAGGATCAACCAAGGAGAAAGAGAAAGGGACAGATCATGTATGATTGGATGATTTTGTTACTTTATTCATTCATTTAATGAATATGCATTGAGTAGCTCCTACCTGCCAGGCCCTGCCTGAGGTGCTGGGGACAGACAGAATCAGACACACTTGGCCCCACACTGTCCTAGGCTAGAGTCCCAGGAGAAGTTACACAGACTGTGCTCAGTGCTCCATCATAGGAGGCACAGGTGGGTGGGTTGTTAGTAGGGCACACGGAGACACATCTCATCCAAACTTGGGGGTTAGGATATCAGAATCATAGAGCTGAAAAGCACCTTTATAGTCATCCAGATCAAGCTTTTCATTCTGCAGACTGGGACAATGACTTGGCTGGGGCTTGACAGCTATGCAGAACCCTGCATGCTCTCACCTGCCTCTCGACCCCCTGCTGTGCTCCCCCCCTTCCCCCGTTGTCCTGCTGCCTCTGTGACTACCGCACACAACATGTTCTTATAAGGTGTTCGTGTTCCTGAGAAGAAAAATGCAACTCCACGTGAGCAAATATGTGAAAGGAACATGTATTCAGTGGGTTGAAGAAGCTGCTTTACTTCTGAGCTCTTAACTAATTATTTCAGAGGGAAGGTATTTGTTATTTTCTACTTAGCGTGACTTTACAGGGAAGAAAAGTTAATCCACACAATTAATTCTGAGTTAGCACAGACCTAAGGAGCTAAGAGACTAGTCAAGCTGCAACATCAACTTTGCATTTGTTCTTAAGCCTTAAGAAGCACCTTTAGAAGTTGCAAAGCAGAACTGCAGACTTTGTTGAGGATAAGGTTAGGCAGCAGGAGGGGGAAGTGCTTTCTGAAGGTCTGTGGTTTGCATCACTGTAAGCCTAAGACAGAGTCACCGAACATAGCTTACAAGGTCTGCAAGAGACACCGGTTCCACAGGCACTACTTAAAAATGTGGCTTTTCAGGCAAGTTATATGAAGATTCTAGGCCTTTTTTCTTCACATCTGAAAATGAAGATGATAAAAGTATCTACATCGTTGGGTTGTTATGAGAATTCAATGAAGTAGTGATTGAGAAACAGTTGGCATATGCCTGACAAAAAGCATCTACTCAGAAAAATGATCGCTTTTATTGTTAGCCGATAACCAGAATTTAACAAGGTGTCATGCTGTCTTAATACGTGAATGGTTAAACTGACACCATGAATGTGTCTGTATAAGTCTTGTCTTATCTCAGAAAGTACAGTGAAAGTAGGTGAGAAAGAAAAAAGTAATAACAAGTAGAGCCTGAGATAAAGCTAACGCCTGTCCAGCAAATCTGCATCCTTGTTGAAGATTGGTCACACTTGGCTGGAGGCATATGGCTCATACCCGGCACTAGAGAAAAGTCTGGTCAGTTATACGATTTTCAGTGTTCAGTGCCCTTGACAGGTGCTTACCAAATGCCTGCCACATGCCAGGTACTGTCCTATGTGTTGGTGATTAAACAGTGAAGAGAACAGACACAGTCCTCACCCCCAATAGTGATTATATCTTAGTGGGACGAAACAGATGATAAGCATGGTAAATAAGGTAAGCATGGTAAGCAGATGATAAACATAGTACAGCATGTTAAAAGAGGATACAGGCAATGGAAAAATGAAGCAGGATAAGAGAAAGAGAGAGTTTGCAGTTTTAAATAAAGCAGTCAGAGTAGATCCCTCTAGTTGGAGTGACATTTGAGTAAAGATGTGCAAGGGACAAAGGCAGCAGGCTATGTGCGTTCTAGGCAGAAGGGTCCTCCAGCAGAGAGAACCTCCAGTGCCAAGACCCTGACGTAGGAGCAGGCCTGGGTGCTCAAGAACAAGGAGACCAGTGTAGCTGGAGCAGAGTAAGCAATAGGGAGAACAGAAAGAGGTGAGCCCAGCAAGGTGGCCAAGAGCCTGATTAAGGAGGGCTTTGTTGGGCAGCCACTGGAGGGTTTTGAGCAGAGAACTGGTATCCTGACTTGTTTTTTTCAATGATCCCTTTTGCTGCTGTATTGAGTATAGACTCCAAGGAGGCAAGTTTGGAGGCAGGGAGATCAGCTAGGAAGTTATCTCAATAACCCAAGGAAGAGGTGATATGAAGTGTTTAGAGTGTCTACTATCCATTAGAGTTGGAAGATAAGAAACAATGGTATTTCCTGGTTGATTAGATGTGAGATGTAAGAGAAAGATAAGAATCAAGGATGGGCTCAAGGTCTGGGGCCAGAACAACCAAAGGACAGAATGAATGAAGCCGGTTTGGACAAGAGGATCAGGAGTTGAGCTTTGGACACATCTAGTTGGAGGTGTCTGTGATATATCCAAGTAGGCAGTTAGATTGATGAGTATGGGGTTCAGGCAAGATACCTAGGTTGGAAACATGAATTTGGGAATTGTCAGCATAAAGTTGGTATTTAAAGCCATGAGTCTATAATATAAAGAACAGAAAAGGTACAAGTACTGAGCTTGGAGGCCCTCCAGTGTTGAGACAGAAGCAGATCAATTTCCGTGAAACTGATAGTCACTCAACCCGAAGTCTGCAGGAGCCCTTTAAGATCAGGAGACAGAAAATTATAGCTCTTGAGCCAAACCTAACTCAATGCCTGTTTTTATAAATAGAGTTTTATTGGAATACAGCCATGCCATTTGTGTACGTACTATCGACTGCTTTCACTCTACCATGGCACGGTTGAATAGTTACAACAGAAAGCGTATGGCGCACAAAGCCTGAAATGTTTACTATCTGGCCTTTTACAGAAAACATTTGCCAACTGCTGTTGTAAATGAACATGGGGTAGCAGGTCAGAAGGGCAGACCCCAGGTCCAGGAACGAATCTCACCAGTCTAGTGGCACTGTCTTCTGTGTATGGCACTGGCCTCACTGGACCTGGGCTTGGAATTGTATTCCACAAATAGTACTAGACTGGGAAATGCTCTTCACACACTCGTTTACTTTACCTTCTCTAATCTCCCTCCTTTTATTTGTTCACAAGGCCTTTAAATAAAATTAGAGGAATTTTATAAAGGAAGGCTGGTAAACCCATAACCTTGGCCTCATTGACTCAAACCTGAGGATTTGACAAGCCAATTCCAGCCCATGTGTCATTGCCTGAATTACCCTGCATGCAGATCTTGTCCACAGAAACACCATGTAGGGATTGCATGTAATCCAAGGATAAGTGAACTTTATAGCTGCCAAGTCCATTTTCAGGAAGAGAAGGGGAAATCGCTTAGAAAAAAGAGAAAACTGCCCCTTTCCCTTCATTGCCCAACCATGTTTTAGAGTCCTTTGAGGGTCAGTACAGAAGAGGGGAACTCTTGCAACAGGAGGTCCACTTATTCTGACTGCCCATCCCCAGAAGATGGTCACAGACAACAGGCACATATGGGGCTTACACTAAAAAGTCATAAATCATCAATTAAAATTACTCAGATGTACTTTCAATTATTTCCTCCTTTTAGTTCTCATCTCTCATTTTCATCCCCATTTTAATGACTCAACTGTAGCATAGTAAAATTTTTAAGATACACCTGTAACCTAAGAAATGATGACACTCCCAAACTCTTTCTCCCATTTCTCCATCCCTCAGTACCTTCCCTTCCTCTCCACCTTGTCACCCCAACTTGGACATCAGGGACAGTGTTTTATTGTTGTGTGCAAATGCCCTGGCAATTCCCCACCTTCTTCATTCAGAGCACAGTTCATCAAAGCTACAATTTACTGAGTCCACTTCCAAAAGCAGAATGCTGTTAATAAATCATTGTAGTGATCTGAAAGCCTGAGAGGAGACTCTGGCAGACCTGCACGGGAAATGCCTGGCAAATGTTCTAAGCTGTGTGATTGCACAGAAGCTCCACATGAGGTTTAAAAATGTTCAGGTAGACCAGCATGAAATGACAGGAGGTTTGAGGCCATTAAAGCCTAAGATATTTATTAATGGAGTACTAGAATACCCTGTTAGATGGCCAGAACCTTTTGTGTAACTTTATTTTCTCACGTGTAAAAAGAAAAAGCAGTTTGCACAAGAAGACTTGAGTTTGTACCCATGTTCTACACTTAACCTCTGTGAGCTGTTTCCCCATCTGTAGGATGGGAATGATGATTTTAATACCTATTTCCAAAATTTGGGGGGAAGAAAATAAATAAAAATTTCCCAAAAGTTTGCTAGTGGGGGAGCAGGGAGAGATGTTATATAAGCTAAACTTTCTAGAACACTACCCAGCTCATTGCAGACACTTGCCAAGCACATGTGCCTTCCCCACCCGGGAATAGGACACCATGTGAAGACACATGGCCTGCAGTCCCAAGCAAGTCCAGAGTTAAGGTCAAAGCTGACATGAGCCTTGATACAGGGCAATATGGGCATATTAGTGTCCGGTCTGAGAAAAAACATTATCAAAGCAAGTTCAGTGCCATCTTGCATTCCTGCTCAGTGTTTATAGAGCACCTACACTCACTGTCTCCTTTGAGAGTCACAGCATTTTCCCAGGAAAGACTCATCCCTATTTTACAAGAGAAGAAACTGATGCTTAGATGAACTAATGAAATGCTAGTTATGAGCAGAGCCTAGATTGAGACCCTGGTGTTCTGAGTTGAAGATCTATGTTCTAATCAATATTTTAGCACTGCTCTGAGGGCTAGACTCTGGGTGTCCCTGTCTAACTTCAACTAGAAGAGCTGTAGTTTTACCAAGCTCAGATGTTAGGATGCTACATAAAATTTTACATGATAAAAACATCTTGACTCTTGAAAAAAAGATTTAAAAATGATTGCACTCTATCGTGATAGCTTTACAGCAAAGTGCATCTAAACTGAATTACATTATATTAGCCTGAAACAAGATGCAAAAAATCCTTAATTTATCTCATCATTATTCTAATCTCTCAGGGCAAGAATCTGGGATGACATGTTGTTCCCATTTGTTGGCGATAGAATCTAAAGCAAAATGTGGTCCTGGGTTACAGTGTTGGTTGTGGAATGGTAATTGTGTGGTTGTCCAGTATTCTTGTTTGGTCAGATCACAAATGTAGTCTAGGAGTTGACCTGCTGCAGGAGGGAAATGTGACCAAAGACGTGCTTTCTTGCCGGAGCTGAGTGGGATTTTGCGTAAGTTTATATATGTGGCTTTGTGAAATGAGCAGAAATCTCTCAGGAGACTTTGGTCTAGGAAAGCATCAGTGAAGTGGCTGATGCTTTTGTGGATGTTCTGTAAATGTCAGGGAATTTGTAATGTTATTCTAACCCTGTGCATGCCTGCTTAATAAGTGATCCTCTGAAGCACCAATTTGGGAGGTGTTGGGATGTTCATGAAAAGATGCAGCCTGCATTCCCTGGCCCCGTCTGCCCATGATGCCCTTTAACCAAGGTTCTCAGGGTGGGCTGTGGAGTATGTGCTTATCTCTTCACAGGGAACTAAAGGAGAAGATTCAACCAGAAATCTTGGAGCTGATCAAACAGCAGCGCCTGAACCGCCTTGTGGAAGGGACCTGCTTTAGAAAACTCAACTGCCGGCGGAGGCAAGGTATTGTGTTGGGGGCCACTCCACCCTTGGCCGGGGTGAACAGTGGCCTGGCCCATGGGGAATCACAAGGGCATGGGTGTTGGTTTAAGGTAGGCCACATAGCATTGTACTCAGACCAGGAAGAGCAGTCTGGGGAAGTTCTGACTGCTCATGCATACCCAGGGAGAACCAACATCCAGAAGTACCAGGAGACCCATGGAACTGAAGAGCCATCCTGGGCCCTAAGTCTATTAGTTGTGGTTCAGTAGGAGCTAACATGTACTGAGAGCTTAGCAGGCTCTCATTTTACTTATGTTAATGCAGTTCATCCCTGTAGTAACCCTGTGAAGCAGCTAGTGGCCCCACCACAGGTAGGGAAATGAAGGCGGCAAGGCATCGTTCACCCAAAGTCACAGACGATCGGGAGTACTTCTCCAGCAGCCCTGTGGCAGTGACTCACCATCCTGGCAGGAGACCTGGACCCACTGGTGGAGTTGACCTTGGAACTCTCAGCATGAATCGCCCTTATTTTCAAATCCCAGTACTGATTCTCTTCCAGGTCAGAATTATTTTATTTGGAGATTTAAGCAACAGTGAACCAAGACAGGACAGAATTGTTTTTCATAATCTTATAGGACAAATTTCTGAATTGTCTCTATAAATTTTAATCCCCAAATACCAAGTCAAAATGGGTACCACAAGACTAGTTTCCATAGGTGGAAAGCATTTCCAGGTGATCCTTAGCCCAGGAAATAGAGTCCCTTGATTGTCTTCTTGCTCTTTTGACATGCTACTGATTGCAATGTCAAAGTACCCATATCATACTCTTCTAGAAACAGTCAGAAAATAAAACTGAAAAATAAGATTTGGGGAGAGTAGAAGTGCAATAGCAGGAGCAAGCATAAGCATTAGCAACTGTACCAAGAACAAGCAGCAGTTATGATCCAGGAGAAACTTGCAGGTATTTTAAAAACCTGCTGGATGCCCTGCTCAGACACAGAGCTCACCAGCTGATGATGCCCATCAGTTCATGTTGATGCTGAGCACATCCCCCTGGCCGTTCACTTTGATGGCTTTGTGCTGAACACGGAGGAAATTCAAAGAATTTCAAATGTTGCCATTACAAATCATGTTAAGGAATTTCCAAAGGCAGACCTTCCTTGAGAAATGCAAATGAAGGCTGTTCCCAGAGGATGGGCAGCCATGCTTCAAGCAGAGCCAGAGGAGAGGACAAAGGGCCAAATAAGAAAGGGGTGAATTACAGCAGGGACAGAGAAAGGCTCACATTCGGAAGAGCAGTGCCCATCACCCACAGAAGGCCAAGTTCACTCGCTCCTCTCACAGTGCTCTGCTTGTATGTGAGGACGTCAGCGGAGTATACGCTGTTCCAGGAAGACAGCATGGCACCATGGCGAGAACAAGAGCCCAGAGCCAGATCACGTGGGCGCATTCCGACCTCTCCCCCACGTCCAGCTGTGTGACTGTGGGCAGTTTCCCCATGTGAAATGGGGATCACCATGCTTGTGTCCTAAAGCTGTTGAGAGGAAGAAAGGCAATTATGAATGTAACGCTTAGAAAGCAACAACAAAGGGCAGTTACTGTTATTCTGAAAGACTGCAGGGAAAGAGCAATGAGCTGGGAGTGAGTAAAACCAGGCCTCTCAAATCTGTAAGTAGCCACCTAGGTGTCTTTAGGCAGAACACATGACCTCTCAGGACCACAACTTCCCATCTATTGAGACAACAGGATCAGATGATCTATTAGCTCAGTTAGCCATAGTCAATGGTATGCCCTGATCTTTTCGTCACCTTTGAAAAAATCAACATTCAAGGTACATTGCCCTCATGAAGTGAGTTATAAAGTTTTTATTTAGTTACTGGGGCACAGAAATTGGAGGAGGGGTGGTGGCAAATAGACTTAGTATTAACCAAATGCTTCAACTGATGCTCATCTGGAATCCTTTGGAACCTAATTCAAAGAGCTCAATTTAACCTTCCAGTCTGCTTCACCTCCATACTTGCCTTTACAAGCTGAAGTGGACAGAGCCTACTAGAATAATCCTGCTTCTAGACGTAATAATTACAGAGGTTTTTTTTTGGCTAAAGAAGTGTTAGTCCCTTATCTGCAAATTTTTCCAGTTTTCTAAAAATGAATTACCAAGTGAACATAAACATGTTAGCATCTACATTATAAATGTATTAGTTAAACTCCCTGGGGAGCATGACCATCTGTGTTTAATATAAAAATTTTCCTTCTGAATGTGGAAGGGAAAGCTTTTTGGTGTTTGGTAAATGGATTTAGAGCTAGTGACTAGTTTTGTGTGCTTAAAAATAGGGATTCAAAGCAGACTGCTGAAATTGGTTTCCTATCACCACATCAAAACATTCCATTTAGATTTATACAGATTCGTGAGGACATGACATACCATCATTTTAATCCCTTTGAGAAAGGTGCACTTCTATGTGGGATCTCAGATGGGGACAGCCATGTGCCATCCCGTGCTTGCTTGTTGAAGACCAAGCACACCTACGACAGAGTTGTGGCCACACTCTCTTTAAACTTACCCAGTGAGTCACACACACAGATAAGTAAATTTAGTATTAACCTTATAGGAGAAAATGTATAAGAGCTTCCTATAAAACAAAACTGAAAAGTAGAGGAACAGACAGAAAGTCCTTTACCAAGCCATGTTTGGCTCGAACCGTCCTTGAGCTGCTACTGGCTCTTCACTGCTGTCCATCCCACTTGCTGCATTTCCAGCTCTCATGTAGATATTTACAAAGTCTGATGTAGATATTTACAAATGTAGATACAGACAAATGTAGGGTCTGGGGGCTTCTGATCACATTAGAACCAGAAGGCAGTGAATCATGTGAGACACGTCAGGCTTCATTCAAGTCCCTGCCTCCCTTCTACCCCTACCTGGGCAGCCTTCTAAATCTCTCTGTGCTTCAATTTCCTCATCTGTCAGATGGGAATGGTGTCAGTTCCTACATCAAATAGTTGTAAGGGTTAAATAAATTCATGCATCTATAGCACTTAGTAGGATGCTTGGCATATTTGGTATTAGTTTTAGTTTGTAGTTCCCCAGAATATAGAGTAGAGTGGCAGTGGAGTCACATACCGACTTCCCACCATTCTGCACCCAGCACAGCGTGTGTAAAGCTCCTGTTTGGAATCCCTCATGCTGAGATGGCCCTGGTTCCTCGTTCCTTGAGCTTCTGCAGGAGAGAGTTCAGATGAAGCTCCAGAACTTGTTTCTGTGAGGACCATTATTTGCTTTGTGAGAATCTACAGACTCAGGGACGGCTTGCTATTTTCCATATATTTCAGAGATTAGGATTTTTCAGAATCACTTTCATTGAGTATTCTTGATAAGAGCTCAAATGAACACTGAAGTGCTCATTTCAGGAAATGATAGCATGAAACTTCTGCTTCTCATTGAACTCATTGTCCATTTTGTCGACAAGCATCCCTTCCCTAAGCACTAACAAGACAAACTTAACTTGGAACTCAATAGTGGGCAAAATGTGCCTGCACCCCGACCCCACCTGGAAGGAACTGGCATGTTTCTTCATTGCTGCTAAGGGCAACATACCTAGCATTGCTCTTTTAGCTGAGAAAACCTAGAACCGAATGGAATGTTTGGGCCTAGTAACCATATGAGCTCTTGAGCAAGTATCTTCCTCTACCTTGATTTCTTTTAATATTGAATTAACCTTATCTTAACTCATTCATACAAGAAGGCAAGAGTAATAATACATATTTTCAAAGGAAAAAAATCTAGTTCATTTTTCATTTTCCAATAGGTATTTGATCCAGTATTTGATAACAGATAATTATTGTTAGGACCAGTAGTGTGGATGAGAGAGATTACATTGACTAGAAGAATAGGAGGACAATAATATTTGAGTGAATGGTGCATAATGGGTACTTTATACATTTTTTTCTCATATAAATTAGCATTATGTAAAAAATGCAATAGGGATACCTGAGGTTTTTATAATTTGGCCAAGACTCTGTAGCTGATGTGTCAGGGCCAGGTGTGTAGCCCAGGTCTTTGTGATTTCAAAGCAATAGCTAGGCCAAACCATCTTTAAAAAGATTTGGGAGCTCTGGAGTCATCCTCTGCTGTGAAAGGAAACAGCAGTCTCCGGGGATACAGAATTCTAAATCAGAACACAAGTCTCCCATTCCAAAGAATGTCCTGTGAAATGAGAAAGATTTAAAAGGCAGAATGACCTTCCTCTGTATCAGCAGTTGTTGCATTCCTTTGCTGGACCAGCAGAGAGATGTTGGATCTCAATTCTTGGAAGATGATATTTCCCTTTAAAAACATTTCTGGGTCCCTTGCACTTTGTGACTTGGAAAAGTTCAACCCTAGGCAGGAAGCGGACCTTCTCTTCAACACACTGAAGGTTTTGTATAAATTTAGGTTAACCTAGGAAAGATTCAAAATCCTACTGGAGACTTCACATTAGTAAAGGCCACCTGCCTCCCAAACACAGAATTCTCAGGGCCCCCCTGGGCCAGCAGCAAGCTTCCAACTGTAGGTTTTGTGCCTAAAACAAGATGTCCCCACATCCACAGCAGAGCTGGTCAGGACTCAGTTCTTGCTGTGCCACGTGCCTCACTGCGCTGAGCAGCATTTAACCTCAATAATGGCAGCTATTCATCTCCTCTAAAGAACTGACGATCAGCCCCAAATTTGTCTCCAGACTGGATGATGAAGACACTGAGCTGCTGCATTGTTCGATATAGCTACCTAAGACTAAGTTAATTAAAATTAAATATAATTTAAAATTTCTTGTCTTACTATTGGTTAAAGCAGATACATGGTATTTCCATCATTGCAGGAAGTTCTAACAAACACTGCTGCAAGAATTACAGTTGTCAGTAGTTATTAGCTCCATAATCATCTATGTGACCTTGAGAATAGCTTTAATCAGCCCTGGAGACCTTTGTACCAGGCTTGTGAGCTTTGAAAACAGCATTTCTCTCTGATCCTTTACACACACACACACACACACACACACACACACACAAACAGAGGAAGAATGATGCACAGAATTGTCTCCATATTTTCAATTTTTTGGTTTAGAGAATGAAGAAATAAATGGCTATTAACATACTAACATTCATAATTGATGGGAAGCCCTCTATGTTAACTCCTATTTATTCTTTAAATGCAGTAAACAATCTTTGATAATGTTCTCACTATTCCCTGCTAATTGCTTTTAGTGACACAATCCACTCATTCCTTGCCCAGAGGGGCTGAGGAACTAGTAACATCATGCTGGGTTTTGAAAAGAAAATATACATTTTTCTTACCATAAAAGAAATGCAGATAAAGCTGCTGCTGGTGGCTGACACTGAAACTGTCTCACCCAACAAGTCAGAGCATTGTCTGTTCAGAGCTGGCAGGGCTTCTCTCCTTTACAACAGCTCCACCTTCAAGACAGACACACACAAGTTATGATGCCTCTAAACCTTCCCAGAGCTAATGATTCTAGCCTGTATCCTGAGGAAGATATTGGCTGAGTATCTCCCTATTTGTTTATGACTTAAAACAACCTTCCCAAGCCTTTTTAGCCCCTTTTCCAATATTTTGTTATCCATCCAAGTCCTCCTATTTGACGGGAGATGCAGAGCAATCATTTATGCCAGTAATGAACAGATAGCTTGGCCCTCTACTGTTTCAGGAATAGAGAGGAAAACCAGGGCAGGGTGGTGGTGTCAAAGTCAAGAGAATTTCGGCCTCTGGAAGGAGGGAGGTGTCACCTGTACACCAGATATTGTTATGGCAGGGTTCCATAATCATTCTTTGAAACAAACACTGACTGCAGCTTTGCAAGGAAGATGGTTGTTTTGCCTCCTGGAACCCTGGTAAATAAATGTCCACTGTTCTCTAGTTTCTGAATGAGAGTATATGTTGCATAAGAGACTTTCTCTATTCCTATTTTTTCGCTGTAGTACAGAGTTGCTGATTCCCTATCCCTACTTCCCATGAAGAAGTGTCTCCACCATATTTTTTTATTTGCCACTGAAAACAAAGGGAACTCCTTCTCCTTAAGCTTTTTGCTTTGTCTCTCATGCTGCCTTTCATCCTAATGATTTTCCGAGACGTGCAGTCGAGTGCTATGTGCATTGTAGGCAGTCCGTAAATCTTCAGTGGACAAATAAACTTACCTTGAAAGGATAGGCAGCAACATTTTTTGAAGTCTTTAAAATGAATGTAAGTCGAGCATTTTACATCGCAATATATCTGTACCACTTAAATTTCTTAACACTCCTCCAAATACATTAAGGAAGACTGATGGCCTTTGATGGCACCATATTGACCCTTGGGCTTCAGGTCACCGCCGCTAACCCCTGGAGCTCACCCCAGCTTGGGAAGCACGGGATTCCTAGAAAGAGCAGGTTAAGACTCTACTCAAAATAAGAACATCATGTCTAAGCACCAAAGCTCATGGACTTATTTCTGTCACTCCTCAATTACCCACTTAACCAAAAATCCCACCACAGAGGTAACAGGAGAAGGAAAGTTATATGGCAAATTTTTCCAGCTGTCTTTGTGGTCATCCTGGGCCATTTAGATAAGATGAAAGCTACTTTGGGAAAGAAGAAACCTCTGTAGCCTGGCATGCCAGGCCCACAAGAGCACTGCCAATGCTCATGACCAAAACACGGCCTGCCCCTCTGGAATTCACATTTCCTGTTGTGAATTTTAAGTCAAATTCTCAAATCTGTTCTCCTCATGGAAAACTAATAATTATGTATTTGCCTAATTGAAATGGCTGTGAATTATTCAGGGAATAACTTTATTTTCTCCCTTTGAAATGCTTTCCCAGACATATGACCTATGTTGGATATATATATGTATGACACATAATTCTGAAAATTTAGCAATTCCAGATGTTTTCCTAGCCATCAAATAACTTTATTTCCTCTCAAATTTTTCCACCAGAGTTCAGATTCTTTTAAATATGTGGCTTGCCGTATTCTATGTTCAAGAATTTTCAAACCCTATTTATGTATAAGGAAGATAGGAATCATAGATACATTTTGCTTTTGTAGATCAAGTTTGGGCATTTTCTTTGTTCATGTGTGGCTTTTACTTCCATTTTTAAAACTTTCTTTTCTATTAAAAGTCCTAGTTAAAACACGGTTTTGCAGTGAAAGCAATTTCAGATAGAAAAATGCTTAAAATGTTATAGAGAGCTTTTTAGTCAGAGTGGTTTAAAAACAGTTTGTGTTTGTAGACACAATAATGAGGTGACTTGATCAAGGCCACTGTGTTTGCCAACTGCATAATTTTACAAAGGGTTTACAGGTCATTGATGTTTTATGCCTTAAACATTCTGACTAAGCCCTCTTGGGTCTTCATTTATCAGTTAGCCAGCACCGACTGTGCACCTTCTACGTGCCAGCTATTGTGCCAAGGGATTGGGGCAATGCAGTTATGAAGACAGTGGCTATCTTCAGAGAGCCCTGGCTTCTCCACACTGTCAGGCCTGATGAGTATCCTGGAATTGTCTTCCTCCATCGGTAATTGTTCATGGTACACCTAATAGGGCAAGTTGCTTACCTAGGGTCAGTGGCAGATAATGAGAAATATACTAAAGTGCTTAACATGTGAGCACCAGTAATCAAAGAAGATGCTGGAGCAGCTAAAAGGTGGGGAGAGTCCCTTTGGCTGCAGTAATCAAAGAGGGCTGCCTGGAAGAGGCAGTATCTAAGCACAGCCTTGAGAGCTACACAAAGACTGATGTCACAACATAAATTTCCTATCTATAAAAAGTGCCCTTTGCCTCTCTCTCCATGCCTCACAGGCTTATTCAAAATTTTTTATTACATCTTGGGGCAAAAGAGGGAGTTACAGGAATGATCCTAAGGCCCTGATCATGGCTATTTAGAGAACTAAACACTATTAGAGAGGAGAGACTGTGAATTCTTTGGATAAATCCATGAATTATTTAGATTATTTCCTCATGAATTCTACACCTTGTGTATCACTAGCATCCTAATAATTCCTTCTCTGATTAACTTGTGTCTATTAGCCTTGGCAGTGGGGAGGGGCTGGTGGGCCAACCACCGTGTGACACACTGTTATCTCAACAGTCTTAAAATCTCAGAGACCAAAGTGGAAGAAGAAAAGTCCTGAGAAAATCTTTTCTCTCTAAATCTTTTTCCCTGCTTTTATCAGGTCCAAATAAATAAAGAGTAATTCCCATAGTTATTATAGATCCTGGTAAAATAACCCTGTGGAAGTCACTACCTCAGGAAATCTGTTGCCTTTGCCCTTGAAGGATTTGATAATTTTCCCAATGGTTACCAAATGTGTACCAAGCAGGACACGTGCTAACTAAATATTAAAATCCAAAGGGGATTTACTGCCCAGGGCTCTAGAATTTATTCCTTCCTGAAGTCTTTAAAACAAAAGAATTGCTTGTTCTTCTAGCTACGACTATTAGGAAAGAAGGATGTTGATATTTTTGGAAGCCAGAATCACTTATCATGCAATTTGTGTTTTTCCCTTAGACAAGTTTTGGTATTGTCGGCTTTCACCAAACCACAAAGTCCTGCATTATGGTGACTTGGAAGAAAGTCCTCAGGGAGAAGTGCCCCATGATTCCTTGCAGGACAAATGTAAGTGGCTCTGCTTTGTAGGAGGTATGAATTTCAGTTGGTTGGGAAGTTTCTTGGTCACTCAAGAACCTGCAGAAAACTATCAACCTAAATAAACTCATTGGACGTGGTTCATTTGTAAGCATCCTCATCAAGCACAAGACCTGAATGGATCTGAGGGTTGGGACAGAACAGGGGAGGGCGAGAAATAATGCCCACATATCTTTCATGTAAGATGTAAACCTTGGGTTCAGATGCCCATATTTGCATTACTTTTTCAGGTGCTGTTTCGAGAGCAACACAATATAAACCTGGTTCTGTCGATTGTCTTTTCTGATGACCCAAAATAACTTCCATAACTTCCTATGAATCATGTTTGATGCCTACAACATTTATTCATTACAGTTTAGTGAAACCTAGAATTCTAATCCATAGTTAATAGCAGATCAAATATAGCTAACTTACTTCCAAGAAATAACTCAGACACTTCGGAAATTTATGATCAATTACATTCTATTATTTACTGAATAGTCCTTGAAAGAGATGTCATTTATATTTATTTGCTATTTCTGTTTGGTGTCTGTTTTAATGTGTATGTTTGAAAGACCCAGTAATATGCTAGAGTATTTGAGCCTAAAGTCAAGCCAGGATCCAGGTTTTTTAGATAGTATTAAGTACACAAATTAACAAAGTATTCTAGAAACATTAAAATACACAAGGGTGATGAATTAATTTGGAAGAGAAATGAGGTAAAGTGAAAATAACCTCAGAGAATATCCCAGGTGGAGAAACCAAAGAGTAAGGAGACAAATAAAGACATTTTTAAATAACCTTGAAAAGCCACAGTGACCCTAAAGGGAGTCATATAACTATGTCCCAGACAGAGTTCTTCCCCCAAGTCCCAGCATCTTCCCTCTTGTCACCCTGGGGCCCATAGATTTTAAATCTGCAGCTCATGGCCATCAAAGGTGAAAATAAAACACAAGTGGGAAATTCCTGACACATTTAGACTCTGTGCTGATCTATCAGGCTGACAGCCTGGAACATTCTCTCTTCCTCCAGCTTAAAAGTGGGACAGTCAGGTCTTTGTACTGTCATTTAGCTCAGAAGGCTGTTTCATTTCCTTTCATGGGAGTTCTGCCTCCCCAGCCCATATTATTGACCCTGTTAATGGGAAGAGAAAGAAATCTTAAACTCACGGCTGCAGAGTCTGGAGTAGTGTCTGTACATCTGGGTTATGGGGGTGGCCTCCGTCTCTGCCCACAGCGAGGACCTCCCTTCGGGTCTCCGAAAGCCTTACCCATCCCACCACAGACAAGCCAGACCCGGGACTCTCACACAGTGCTTCTCAGACTATGAGCAGCGGCGTCACCTGGGAAACAACTAGAAATGCAAACTCTCAGACCTCACTCCCTGACCTGCCGGATCAGAAACTATATGGCTGCAGCCTGCAAGACCCCGCTGGTGATTCTGGTGCACACTCACAGTGGAAACTGCCGAGTCAGATATTGCTCCACACTCTTCTTAGTGATCCCCAAAATTTGGCTTTCACCGATACATAAACATTTTAAAAGGCCAAAAAAGTGAATTGATTGTGGGTTGGCAGCTTTTAATTTTGGCAAAAAAGGCTATTAAAAATAAAATATAATTAAAATTTAATAGCACATTCCTTTCATTTAAAAAAGGGCTCTTGATCACAAAAATAAACAGTAAGAAAGACCAAATCTTAGAATAAAGGATAGTGCCTCCTACTAAGTTAAGTTAGCTTTATGAAAAACTCACAGCAGTGTCTTCATTTTCCTCACTTTGCTATTAACTGGTGAAAACTCACTGGTGAGACCTCCCTCGCACACTCCTAATTGTCCAGAAGTCAGCAGTTTGGAATCACTGCTCTACAGTTGTGAAATGAAAAGTTAGAGGCTGCTGTTTGTCGAAGCAACCAGAAGCTTTGTGTGAAGTCACCCACAGGCTCATTCTTTACCTGATCAAGAATTAGGAAAGTGGGTCAGACAGGAAAACAAAAACAAAAACACAGCTTGAGTCATTCCTTCCCCATGTGGCCCAGAGAATCAGCTCTTCCATCCACTGGACATATTATTTATCCCATATTTATAGGAATATTAATCCACCTCTCAACCCACAGAAAGGCATTTGATTGGCACTGATTTCAGGTTTTATTCTCATTCTAGCTGTACTCTCATCTAGCTGGTCCTGTTGCTTAGGAATTTGGTAGCCTTGCTCCTAGAGAAGGTCAGGTTGTGGACCCCCATGAGCCTGTGTAGGGGCAGTTTCTGGGCTTGCCTGCAAGCTGATACCCACCCCAGCTCCACCAAGGTTCACCCCACCAAGAACCCAAGGTGAGAATAATTAGCTAAAAACTAGGTGTTCTGGTTCCAGAGAGAGCCAGCTGGCCAGGTGGTTTACAGAAGAGCAAGGCCAGAGCTGCAAATCTCCAGTTTTTAATGGTGGACAAGGAAGAATGTTGCTCTAGGAAAGAGATGCAGCAGTCTCTTCTGACAAGGGACTCCAAAACTCTTGTTCACCTCCTTCCTCTGCAGCCTTTGAAATTGTTCAGGAGAGCTATTCTATAAACAGTTTATCCATTGCAAGAGAACTTAAAAATCTATACTTGTGCAGGCCTGTGCATTTGGGAGGGTGTATGTGTGTGTGCATGTGTGTGTGTATGCATGGTGATATATCTTTATGCACATGTGTGCCAGGGAGAGGGTGTATTCATGTAATGAAGTAAAATGTGCCTGAGATAAGAAGGCAACTTCTTAGAAAACTAAATTTTGCTGCTTCAGGCCTATAGCCTGATTTCCATTTAATTCCAATCATACATTCTGCCTAGAGGAAAATAGCCCATCCTCTTGGAGCCCTCAAAAGTCAGAAACCTCATTCCACTAGAAAAATTAGACATTAATTAAAATCAAGTGCCATTGCTCTTACTGTGTATGATTGCCCTCTCTTGAGACCAAGGGGAAAATTATCTTCCACCCCTTGAGTTAATCAGTGCTGAATATTGAGATATTGACTAATCAAATAGTCTAATTGAATCAATCCTCTTAATACAGAGAATGCAAGTGAAGAATTGAGGGGCCTCTCCTTCGCTGTCACCCTCCCTGAAGGTTTATGGAATCTCTTTTCCTGTATTCCTTTTATTGGGCAGGAAATGTGAGCCTTAAAAATCCACGCCTTACATCCCCTTGTTCATATCTCTCCTACCAGGTTTACAGGCCCTTATCACCTCCTCTAAACTCTAGACTCTAGGCTTTCCAGCCTGCCCCAGGCCCCTCCATGCCTCCCTTTAAAAGAATTTAGGCCAGCGCTCCTCACTGCTGCATTAAAGGGGCCAGGAGGAGAAGGCTCCCCCACCTCACACAAGGCAAGTAAGCCTCTTACAGTAGATGAGAGAGCAGCTGAGACAGCAAAGCAAAGTGGACAATTTGGGTCATTGAAGCACAGTGAATAAGTCAGGCCCCTCAGTCTGCAGAGAAAATTAATGTTGATTATTGCTAAAGAGAATAATTGCAAATAACACTTATTGAGTGCTTACTATATGCCAGGCACTGTGCTAAGAGCTTCACATAAATTATCCTCTTGACAACCTGTGCCCTTGTTTTACAGATAAGAAAAGAGAGGTACAGTAAAATTAACTAACTTGTTCAAGGTCACATGACTAGTAAATAGTAGAGCACAGATCTGAATGCAGCCATCTAACGCCATGGCCCAGACTTTCGCCCACTATTCTGTATACTGCCTAGATTAAAAGCCAGCAGTGATCTTGGCTGCAGTATCAGGAGTTAATTCTTGGAGCAGCCCTGCGACGTAGATGATGTTATAGTTCCAAATTGTGGACAAGGAAGCTTAGACTCTGAAAACTTAAGCCCAAGTTGTACAGCCAATAGGTGGGTCTAGAATTCAAACCCAGGCTCTGCGATTCAAAAGGCCTAGCCCTTCCCAGCATTCTATGTTGCCAAGTTAGAGACCAGGTTCTTCACTGAACTATTCTGGGATCAGCCTGTCCCTCCTCTGCATCTCCATTCATGGGAGCTTCTGTGGAGCTGTGCATACAGCCAGTGCTCATGGTTACTGGCTGCTTCCTGGGTGGTTTCTGCCTTAACTTGGCTCCCAGTCCTGGAAGCCAAAACTCTCTCACACAATGGCCACATTTACTTTTTCAGTTATATTTTTGTTTAAAATCACAGTTAAATTTCCTTCTGCAGATATTAGCAATCAAAGAGAGTCCTGAACATACCTGAAGAGATAACCACATCTGGGGCCACATTCAGCCTGATTTGGGGTGCTGACCACCCTCCAAACACAGGGAGGAATCACTACCCCACAACGGAGCATGGGATGGAAGAAAGAACAGGTGTCCTAGTTCTGCCCTCCACTAGCTATGTAACATTGCTTCATTTATTTCCTCATCTTTAGCCTCAGTCTTCTAATCTGTGAAATGGTGGCGTTGAATTAGACAGTCTCAATCTAGCTCAACTTGAAAAAAGCATTGAAAGAAATGAGGCTGTGTCCCAAGGAGTCAGAGTGGGGGTCCAGCGCCAGTGGTGACCCTCCTGTTTCTCATATTTCTGGGCTTTACTTCTGTAGGCTACTCCCACACACTAAGTAAGGCCTGAGGGAAACACCAGCCTGGCTTTGAAGTAACCAAGAGCCCTCTGCTGCCTCCTTAGAGTGTAGATTCAAGAGACATGAGCATAATTTTGCCCATGAGAATAGGGAGGACAGTATGTTAGCCTTCATGAATCTTACAGTGCATCTAGAAACAAACTATGCAAAGAGCAACCTTTAAAAGCTGTGCTGTATTTTTAGAATTTTGTGTTTTCCTTTTAGCCGCAATTCTGTGAGTAATACAGCAGCTTGTCTCCTTGACAGGGGACAATGCATATAAAAAACTGAATATATGCACTGCCACAGCATGGTGGAAAAGTGCCTTTTCTCCCCTGAAGGCTTCTCATTAGAGATTCTGACGACAGCTCCCACAATAGACTTTGGTGTTACTCTTGTACTATTCCATATGATGGGTTTTCAAAGCCAAGGGATAACTTACTATTTATAGATTATAGACAATCTCTCCAGTTCATTGACCATGTTATATATTAGGCAACAAAATACTTTCTACAAGGTACTTGTGACTCAGACTCTGTCTAAAGCTTGAAAAGCTTTTTTGAATTGTATGCTAATTATGTTGCAAATTCATTTCAGTGTTTAGATTTTTCATTGAGAAGTAAAGCCAACTTCCCAAAGTGCCCAAATGTGGAGTAGTGATTAAGCAGCCCTGCTGGCCACAGAGGGGAACAGGGCTGACCATTGGAAATGGATTTGAGGAGAACTCAAGTCAGTGGTAGTGGTCAAAAATAGATCCAGGAGTCATTGCAACCATCTATAGGTAGATGGCCATCCAAAAGGGCCAAGCAGAGTTAGGAAAGATGTCCAAAGTAACCAATCATACCACTTGGGATAGGCTGTGTTGCTACATTATCCTGCAGGAACAAACAACCCCCAAGTCACAGTAGCTTAGGATGAGAGTTTCTCACTCACATTTCTTAACTGAAATGGGTTATCAATGGGTGCAGTCACTCAGGGACACAGGCCAGCAGCTGCCTTGCCATCCCATAGCTGTGCCGTTTGGATGGAACATGTAGTTTGTTCAGTTTCTGCAGCTGGAGAAGAGAAACTAGTGGACAAGAACTTTTTACTGCCTTGGCCAGGAAAAGAGACATACCATTGCCTCTTGCATCTCATTGCCCAGAACTGATCACTGTGTAGCCCCACCTAACTGCAGAGGTTGCTGGTAAGTGTAGTCTTCTATATGCCCAGAAGGAGAGGAAAGCCAGTGAGTACAAGTAATGTCTGTTAGAGAGATCTAGAATCAAGGCTGCAAGATGAAAGGGCACACGTGATGGGACACAAAGCAGTAAGGTGCACAGATATTCCTGGAAGAATGCATGATAGCCCCACTCTTGTCTAGGGTTAGACAGAGCTCTAGGAGTGAACAAAGTTCTTAGTAATCTTAGAGTACCTAAAAATGTTAGCTTTTAAAGGCCTTCCTGTTGTATCAATTATATATTCTATATATTTTACAATTTTAATCTTCATCTAAATATCACCTCTACAACCCAGTTTCCCAATAAAAATATGTGAACTTTAATTATGAAATCTCTCATGAACTTTATTGACTGAGACTAAGGAATTGGCTACTTGACATTTCTGCAGAACCTACATGGGCCCCTAGACTAAAAGTTCCTTACAGAACTGAAAGAGAAGGGGCTGGAGAAGGACTGATAGCTTCTTATTCTTTTAAATTAGGATTCGAACCACCCTATTTCCTTCTGTCTCTCAGATGATCTTAACAAAAGTTTTAAATGCACAGACCTTTCCATGTCTTTTGTCTTCCTTCAAGTCCTGAGTAAGACATGAGATAACATCATTTTATCTAACTGCATTATTCTCAGGATCTCCAAGATAAATACCAGCTACCATTTCCCTATTAGAAAGGAATGTTCCCTTTATTTGAATTTAGTTTCACTATCTGTAAAACAGGGATAATAAAGCCTGTCTCACAGAATTGTGAGAATTAATGGGATGGTAGGGAGAGAATTTGGAGAATGAGTCAGGACTGTTTAGATACAGATCAATTTTTTCAGTACTTCAACCTCATTATTCAAAACTCAGAAACTAAATAGTTGTAGATACTATAGCCAGAGATCCCAATATATGCGCAGATATTGATCCTGGCACGTAGACACCTTCCATATCAGCATGAGTACCACTATTGCTGTTATTACTGCCACTTTTCTAATCCCATCGCATTTCGCATGACCACACTGGGTTTGAGGTTTTAGGTAGCTGTTATAGTGAACCAGATTCTGCTTACGAACAGAGACTTTTCTCCTCAGGAATGCTTTTTACCAGCCTTTTACTAGAATATAAGAATGTATTTTAGTTTCTAGTCCTGAGACACTGCCTGATTTCTCTTCCCTTTTTTACCTTCTCTTCTTCTCTTCTTTTGCAGTGATTTGTGAGAATGGCAATGGGGCCAGCAGCCTTGATGCGTAGTCCTGCTTCTTGTTGATATGTAAACTTTCACATGGTGTAGTTACTTTCCTCTTCTCTTATGAATTGCAGTGCCAGTGGCAGATATCAAAGCTGTGGTGACGGGAAAGGACTGCCCTCATATGAAAGAGAAAGGTGCCCTTAAACAAAACAAGGTATGATTTCCAAATTATACTGCAAATAGTTCTGTCTGCACAGTGCAGTCAGTGACTGCAATGGGCCCAGACTTTCTTTAGTAGCAATGCATATGTGTGTGTTTGTGTGGTTGCATATATGCACGCATGTGTGTGTGAAGTTGCACAACTCTTATTCAGCTCTCCTTTTTCTTTTCTCAATTCCTTTTATATCACTTAGCAACCCAGGCTCTGCGATTCAAAAGGCCTAGCCCTTCCCAGCATTCTATGTTGCCAAGTTAGAGACCAGGTTCTTCACTGAACTATTCTGGGATCAGCCTGTCCCTCCTCTGCATCTCCATTCATGGGAGCTTCTGTGGAGCTGTGCATACAGCCAGTGCTCATGGTTACTGGCTGCTTCCTGGGTGGTTTCTGCCTTAACTTGGCTCCCAGTCCTGGAAGCCAAAACTCTCTCACACAATGGCCACATTTACTTTTTCAGTTATATTTTTGTTTAAAATCACAGTTAAATTTCCTTCTGCAGATATTAGCAATCAAAGAGAGTCCTGAACATACCTGAAGAGATAACCACATCTGGGGCCACATTCAGCCTGATTTGGGGTGCTGACCACCCTCCAAACACAGGGAGGAATCACTACCCCACAACGGAGCATGGGATGGAAGAAAGAACAGGTGTCCTAGTTCTGCCCTCCACTAGCTATGTAACATTGCTTCATTTATTTCCTCATCTTTAGCCTCAGTCTTCTAATCTGTGAAATGGTGGCGTTGAATTAGACAGTCTCAATCTAGCTCAACTTGAAAAAAGCATTGAAAGAAATGAGGCTGTGTCCCAAGGAGTCAGAGTGGGGGTCCAGCGCCAGTGGTGACCCTCCTGTTTCTCATATTTCTGGGCTTTACTTCTGTAGGCTACTCCCACACACTAAGTAAGGCCTGAGGGAAACACCAGCCTGGCTTTGAAGTAACCAAGAGCCCTCTGCTGCCTCCTTAGAGTGTAGATTCAAGAGACATGAGCATAATTTTGCCCATGAGAATAGGGAGGACAGTATGTTAGCCTTCATGAATCTTACAGTGCATCTAGAAACAAACTATGCAAAGAGCAACCTTTAAAAGCTGTGCTGTATTTTTAGAATTTTGTGTTTTCCTTTTAGCCGCAATTCTGTGAGTAATACAGCAGCTTGTCTCCTTGACAGGGGACAATGCATATAAAAAACTGAATATATGCACTGCCACAGCATGGTGGAAAAGTGCCTTTTCTCCCCTGAAGGCTTCTCATTAGAGATTCTGACGACAGCTCCCACAATAGACTTTGGTGTTACTCTTGTACTATTCCATATGATGGGTTTTCAAAGCCAAGGGATAACTTACTATTTATAGATTATAGACAATCTCTCCAGTTCATTGACCATGTTATATATTAGGCAACAAAATACTTTCTACAAGGTACTTGTGACTCAGACTCTGTCTAAAGCTTGAAAAGCTTTTTTGAATTGTATGCTAATTATGTTGCAAATTCATTTCAGTGTTTAGATTTTTCATTGAGAAGTAAAGCCAACTTCCCAAAGTGCCCAAATGTGGAGTAGTGATTAAGCAGCCCTGCTGGCCACAGAGGGGAACAGGGCTGACCATTGGAAATGGATTTGAGGAGAACTCAAGTCAGTGGTAGTGGTCAAAAATAGATCCAGGAGTCATTGCAACCATCTATAGGTAGATGGCCATCCAAAAGGGCCAAGCAGAGTTAGGAAAGATGTCCAAAGTAACCAATCATACCACTTGGGATAGGCTGTGTTGCTACATTATCCTGCAGGAACAAACAACCCCCAAGTCACAGTAGCTTAGGATGAGAGTTTCTCACTCACATTTCTTAACTGAAATGGGTTATCAATGGGTGCAGTCACTCAGGGACACAGGCCAGCAGCTGCCTTGCCATCCCATAGCTGTGCCGTTTGGATGGAACATGTAGTTTGTTCAGTTTCTGCAGCTGGAGAAGAGAAACTAGTGGACAAGAACTTTTTACTGCCTTGGCCAGGAAAAGAGACATACCATTGCCTCTTGCATCTCATTGCCCAGAACTGATCACTGTGTAGCCCCACCTAACTGCAGAGGTTGCTGGTAAGTGTAGTCTTCTATATGCCCAGAAGGAGAGGAAAGCCAGTGAGTACAAGTAATGTCTGTTAGAGAGATCTAGAATCAAGGCTGCAAGATGAAAGGGCACACGTGATGGGACACAAAGCAGTAAGGTGCACAGATATTCCTGGAAGAATGCATGATAGCCCCACTCTTGTCTAGGGTTAGACAGAGCTCTAGGAGTGAACAAAGTTCTTAGTAATCTTAGAGTACCTAAAAATGTTAGCTTTTAAAGGCCTTCCTGTTGTATCAATTATATATTCTATATATTTTACAATTTTAATCTTCATCTAAATATCACCTCTACAACCCAGTTTCCCAATAAAAATATGTGAACTTTAATTATGAAATCTCTCATGAACTTTATTGACTGAGACTAAGGAATTGGCTACTTGACATTTCTGCAGAACCTACATGGGCCCCTAGACTAAAAGTTCCTTACAGAACTGAAAGAGAAGGGGCTGGAGAAGGACTGATAGCTTCTTATTCTTTTAAATTAGGATTCGAACCACCCTATTTCCTTCTGTCTCTCAGATGATCTTAACAAAAGTTTTAAATGCACAGACCTTTCCATGTCTTTTGTCTTCCTTCAAGTCCTGAGTAAGACATGAGATAACATCATTTTATCTAACTGCATTATTCTCAGGATCTCCAAGATAAATACCAGCTACCATTTCCCTATTAGAAAGGAATGTTCCCTTTATTTGAATTTAGTTTCACTATCTGTAAAACAGGGATAATAAAGCCTGTCTCACAGAATTGTGAGAATTAATGGGATGGTAGGGAGAGAATTTGGAGAATGAGTCAGGACTGTTTAGATACAGATCAATTTTTTCAGTACTTCAACCTCATTATTCAAAACTCAGAAACTAAATAGTTGTAGATACTATAGCCAGAGATCCCAATATATGCGCAGATATTGATCCTGGCACGTAGACACCTTCCATATCAGCATGAGTACCACTATTGCTGTTATTACTGCCACTTTTCTAATCCCATCGCATTTCGCATGACCACACTGGGTTTGAGGTTTTAGGTAGCTGTTATAGTGAACCAGATTCTGCTTACGAACAGAGACTTTTCTCCTCAGGAATGCTTTTTACCAGCCTTTTACTAGAATATAAGAATGTATTTTAGTTTCTAGTCCTGAGACACTGCCTGATTTCTCTTCCCTTTTTTACCTTCTCTTCTTCTCTTCTTTTGCAGTGATTTGTGAGAATGGCAATGGGGCCAGCAGCCTTGATGCGTAGTCCTGCTTCTTGTTGATATGTAAACTTTCACATGGTGTAGTTACTTTCCTCTTCTCTTATGAATTGCAGTGCCAGTGGCAGATATCAAAGCTGTGGTGACGGGAAAGGACTGCCCTCATATGAAAGAGAAAGGTGCCCTTAAACAAAACAAGGTATGATTTCCAAATTATACTGCAAATAGTTCTGTCTGCACAGTGCAGTCAGTGACTGCAATGGGCCCAGACTTTCTTTAGTAGCAATGCATATGTGTGTGTTTGTGTGGTTGCATATATGCACGCATGTGTGTGTGAAGTTGCACAACTCTTATTCAGCTCTCCTTTTTCTTTTCTCAATTCCTTTTATATCACTTAGCCTTAGTCTTGCTTTCATTGAACACTTGTCAAATCCCCACCATCTCTTCCATTCTTGCACTTCCTGTCTACTTCCAACCCTAGGGATTGCTCTCTCACTATTGTCACCCACTCCTATCTAGAGCCTTCTCTGCTTATCCCAGTCCAATCTCTGGGTCTTCTCCCTTTCCTGATTTCAACCCCAATCTCTCATTTTCTTGTTGTCATCACCTTCTGAATAGTCTCCCTGGGGTCTCAGTGAAGCCTTGGGAAGGCAGAGACCTGATGACTAAAAAAATACTAGAAACCTTTAAGGACCCAATATCCTTCAGCACCATGGAAAGTACTAAGAAATAGCTCAAACCCAGCTTCAAAAATTTCCCCAAACCTGTGTTTAGTTTAAATCTTCTTCACATTGCACTGTTTTTCACCCTTCCCTCCTACTATACCAAGTGGCTGTTCAACAGCCCATGGTCTATACAGAGGGTGTGGAAGAGGGCATTATTGGAAAAGACTGAAGAATTTCCTTTGCCCTCAGTTTTGAGGTAATTTGCCCTTTGGAAGGCCACCAGGGAGCCAGTTTTTTGTTTGTGACTTGTGGCATTTGTGAAGCATAGTATTCATCCATGAACAAAATTATCCAGATTGATCTGGATGCTCCAGCCACCTGGGTACCAAAATTACCCCATAAATCAATAGATCGCTTCTTTATTATCAAATATTAGTATCTAAGAGGAATACAAACATATACATCCTATTTATCAATCCGGCTTAAAGTGAATAATCCCTGCTAATTTCAAACATTATAAGACACAGGGCAATCCAGGTTTGTATAGGATAACCCTATCTATGGCTAAGAAAAAGCAAAGCACTGTGAAAGTATTGTTTAAGAAGATAAAGGGAGTAGCCAAGAAGCCTTATAAGAAGATCTTTGCTTCTTAATTATGTAAGTATAAAGTATAACTTCAAATCCATATGAATTCCTTCTTTCAAGCTTGTCACAACACTATTATAACATGCACGTAATTGACAAGCATAATGACATAGGGGCATGCTGAAGAGTCCGTGGGTCATCTGTTACACAGCGCTTCTCTTTTCTCCATGACATGGGGAAGCAGGGATTCTCACAGCTCTTCAGATTCCAAAGGAGCAACTTAATGACAGCAGCAAAATGCCTTTGCGGTTTGCCTCCTGTGAGGCTGCCTTCCTTCAATACCATCTGATGTGGGAGCCCTGGCTGTGCTCAGCTCCAGCTAACATCCCTGTGGTTCTGCAACACTTGGAGATGAGCAGGTAACAGTGTGGGGAAATTGGTAGT